TGGAGGCTGGCAGCAGAACCAGAGACTCAAAGTCCTCAGTCTTTAGAGTCCATTCTTATAGGATTTAATTCCTATGTTAGTCTACGGGAGCTGTTTCATCCTGCTGTTACTGACTCAGTCAGCAGATGGCACATTCCTGTCCAAAGTGGCACATTCCTGGTGGCTCCAAACTGTCCAAAGTTCGTGTTTCATCCTTCCAGGTGATGGGGTGGGTCCCAGTTTACCCTCCGGGGTTTGTCTGTTCATCCACTTGACACATTCTTCGGCCGATGGATACTCCCTTTCTAGGCTGGCACCTCCCTAACCATTCATGTATATCAAGCATTCATCAACATACATTCCATATCTTAACCCTATTTTAATTTACTGTCTCCACCACTTTCGGGGTGTGTGCCAATTCATTTGAGACTCCCGGCCCTTTAATCCCAGAGGGTGGGGGTCGGTCCTAGGAGCCGTTGACTGAAGTGAAAGTCACTTAACGGCTTATAGGGTTTGTTTACCTTGTATCAATTACTTCAAGAACAAAGTCAGTTAAAAGAACAGGAGTACTTGTGGCACTTTAGAGATTAACAAATTTATTAGAGCATAAGCTTTCGTGGACTACAGCCCACTTCTTCGGATGCATACAGAGTGGAATAAATATTTATTCAAGTACTCCTGTTCTTTTTGCGGATACAGACTAACACGGCTGCTACTCTGAAAGTCAGTTAACTTGTTTGTAAGTTTTACATAGTAATAAAGTATCTTTCACAGGATAGATATAATCAATGGTTTCTACAGAGGGTAGCTTACAAGTTTTAACAGAAGACCCAAGAGATTTTTGTACTTGGTGAAACTGTTGGATTTTAAAGTGTGGGGGACAAATTATGAGGGGGTCACTGTCACTTGGGGGAATCACTGTTAGTACCTTCTTTTATATCCCTACATAATCCCCCTTGTGACACTACGCTATTTATATAATCGTTAGTGTCACTTTCTTTTTAACCTGTTTAAGAGAGGTTACTGTGAAGCAACATGTGTTTGTGATTTCAATTTAGTGTACATTCTTTTTATCTGAAAACACATGCCACACATACCAATTATACAAATACAATTTAATATCAAGACTACTATCAAGGGATGTAGCATTACTGATCGGATGCCAGTGGTAGTCGGGGACCATCCAGAGAATATATCATACCAGTGGTAGGTTGTAATTTGTTTCTCTGCCGTGGCAATTCGTAACATGTCCCCATTGGCATGTATAATATGAATAGTCCGATTTCCTACTTGGTCATCTGTCTGTTCTAAAAATTTGGTCACTTTTTTGCTTTTAATGAAA